CCACCGACGTTGTAAAGCTCATTTTGGACATGACAACTTGTACTTCTCATTGTTGCAATAGGTCCACCTGTATCCTTAAACAACTGGTTTTTCCCCTCATTATGGCTAGATCTTTATAGACAAAGCAAGGAGCATGCAAAGTAAGGCTGACCAAATGTGCCAGGCCAGGTACTGGAGGACTCAGATGATGCCTTATTAGCAAGGGTTCCCCTCATCATGAAAAAGACAAGTCCATTAGAAGCTTCGGAGCATGAGGGTCATTCTGACCACTCTGTAGAAAGGAAGTTTTAGTGTTCAGATGAAAGCCGCAGGTCTTAGACTGGGTCTGTAATTTTTGGAAAGGAGAAGAAGAGAACAAAGAGCCTTATATGGAAAGTACTTAGGAGGGATGATGTAGATTCCTCACCTCGTGCCTTGACATCCCATTGTGAAAATGGATAGAAACTGGTTTAGCACCACTACAAATCTTTTTTTGAGAGATATGAATGACACTTCACAAATAGACTAAATAAAATGCATCTTTTTCCCAAGTTTAATATTTGCTCATCCATATTACAAGAATTTATTGAGCATGTGTTGTTTTCCAGGCCCTTTTCTAAGAATTTTCATTCTTATAAACAGGATAGGCAGCAAATACTCATGTAGGAAACTTGATGAGCCTCTTCAGAGGAAAAAGATGAAAATGTGGGCAGGGTTCGCAGACAGTGGAAGAATTCAGCCTCAATGGGTTATATATGGCTGGCAGCATTATCATAGTGTTGGAGTTGAGAGTGAGCTGGAGCTAATAAGAGTATAGGAGAATTGGAAATGTGATGGCAGGCAAGGAGAAGGGGACATGGAAGGTCTCTGAACATGGGCATGAGTGTGGTAGAAACTAAGGTCATTAAAAGGCAACATGCCTGGTGCAGATGGCTTACACCAGTAATGCTAGCTACTGAGGAGTATGAGATCTGAAGATCACAATTCAAAGCCAGCCCAGAAAGAAAGTCTATAAGATTCTTTTTTTTTTTTTGGGTCCGGTCGTGGGGCCTGAACTCTGGGCCTGAGCACTGTCCCTCAGCTCTTCAGCTCAAGGCTAGCACTCTACGACTTAAGCCACAGCAACACTTCCGGGTTTTTTCTTTTTGCTTATGTGGTGCTGAGGAATCAAACCCAGGGCCTCTCAGGCATGCAAGGCAAGCGCTCTACCACTGAGCCACCTTCCCAGCCCCAGTCTATAAGATTCTTATCTCCAATCAACTACCAAAAAGCCAGGAGTAGAGCTGTGGCTCAAGTGGTAGTGCCCCAGGACTGGTACAAAAAAAGAAAAACAACATGTTTCAGGAAGGCAGTCTTTACCTGTTGAAAAGATTTAACCTCTTGGGCTGGGAAGGTGGCTCAGTGGTAGAACACTTGCCTTGCATGCCTGAGGCCCTGGGTTCAATTCCCCAGCACCACATAAGCAAAAAGAAAAAAGCCGGAAGTGGCACTGTGGCTCAAGTGGTAGAGCGCTAGCCTTGAACTGAAGAGCTGAGGGACAGCACCCAGGCCCAGAGTTCAGGCCCCATGACCGGACCCAAAAAAAAAAAAAGAAGATTTAACCTCTTAGAATCTCTAAGAATGGTAGGGACTGGAAATTTAAATCAAAGGAACACTAGATCTCCTATTTATGTCAATCCATAAAGATGGAAAGGGGGTAGTGTATACTATTTATTTAAACATAATCTCTAAACTTGAAGTTCAGAGCAAAAATTGTCACATGTGTGGATTTACTGCAAAACTGGATAGAGACACCAAAGTACAAGATAGATAGAAAGTATAATGAGGCTAGATGAAGAACTAAGTTGCAGCAATAAGAAACTTGTAGGATTTAGATAAAACAATACTGAAGGAGGCTAGAATGTACCGAAGAACTTGGTGTACAATAGGAAATCATCATTGATCACAAAGAGAACAAATTCTCCCCACACTTGATAAATGAAGCAGTTTGTAAGGAAAAATTAATTTAGATCCTCACTAGATACAGAATGCACCAAAATAAAGTTAGAGATATTAAAGCGGTGGATGATAAATTATCAAACTAGGAGACAGAACTGAATATTAGACCTCTACCAAAGGTAACATTTTTGAGTGTGTGCCATTACTGGGACTTGAACTCAGGGCTTGGGGGTGGCCCTTAGCTTTTTCATTTAAGGCTGGCACTCGACCACTTGCGCCACAGCTTCACTTCTGCCTTTGCTGCCTGGGCTGTCTTCGAACTGAGATTCTTAGATCTCAGCTTCCAGAATAGCTAGGGTTATAGATGTGAGCCACTGGACCTTGGCAAAGTTTTATTATTATTGTTGTTGTTGTTTTGGTGCCAGTTCTGGTGCTTGAAGTCAGGACCTGGGCATTGATCCTGAACTTTTTTGCTCAAGGCTAGTGCTCTACCACTTGAGCCACAGCGCCACTTCCGGCTTTT